GGGATCATGCCACATGCACTGCCTTTATTCAACCACAACGATGGTAAATGGGACAGTAGTCCATGATGTGTTTGATTGTTTGCACCTCGCCACATTCACTGAATGGCGATTTAGTCATCAGTATGTCATATGGGGAGGGCACGGTGCCTGCCATTCTTGTATTGACGCAATCTACCGCCTGTTGAAAGGAAAAGCCTGGGCCATTCTTGGTTGGATCATTAAACAAGGTTTTGTCTGAAACGTCAGCTCTGCAACGATTAGCAAACTTCAGGACTGCGAAGTTAGAAGCATCAGTATTCGTTTTTTCTTGTTTATCTTTATTCTTGAATTTTTGCTCTCTATTTTTATTTTTCTCTTCTTACAGAATCTTGTTTTTATAAAAATAGCGAACTAACCGTGTACCAGAATGCGTTTGTTGTGCATTCTTCGAAAGGAATATTCGTTTTTTATTTCGTCGTTCAGGGAGGCGATCTGTTCGATTCACTCGTCAGGGCTAAGCGATATTGCGAAAATGTTGCGTCTCATCTGATCCAGAATCTTGTATCAGCTTTGGAATATCTACATGATAGAAGGATCGTCCATCGTGACGTGAAGCCAGAAAACTTATTGGTACGTTATTGAGCTTGAGTGGTGTTCTGTCTAACTGATGATCGCGCGATATACTTTTGATTATGTGCGATTTTTGCAGGTGTACGAAACGGCAGATGGAAAGAAGCAGCTGAAACTTGCCGATTTTGGCCTAGCAACAAAAGTTGACGGCCCACTTTATACTGTGTGCGGCACTCCGACTTACGTTGCGCCGGAAATTCTCTCGGAAACGGGGTACGTTTTCTTTGCTTTATCCCTTAACTGCTGACGCTTGATTTACAGTGCAAAACTGTGGAGTTAGTTTACATCGATGTTAAGGTAGTGTGAGACATATAACAGTCATTATACCGAGTTGAAGTGTAATATCACATTACCCAGTCGACTGGGACCGTCGTTTAAGCTGGCCACGGCTACATGGTATTTAAGGCTTGCGATACATGTGGCACATATACATCATATATGATTTGAAACAAATAAGAACATGTGAGCACTAACAGAATTACCACTAATCAGTGACTCAATTTTGATGGCAACTTATTCTTCCAGGTCGCGGAAGCAGACGTGTCAGGCAGTATTTCCAATGTTCTGATCCTGTGCCAACCTTTAATCTTCAACAGAAGGTCGCCTGATTCTACATCACAGTCCCTCAGCCGTCGAAACTCCTGTTCTGATTATTTGTCGCTTTACCGGGTTCTTTGGACAGTCTATTGGACAGGATGTGGCTATTTCACCTTCTCTGGAAGCAGCGGCTGTACACCAATGCCCTGTCAGACATCTGTACCCTGGACTCTGTTGATAGCACGTCTCAGAAAATCCATTTCAGCTTCTTGTACCCAGGATCGAAGTTTTCTGTCATGGTCCACGACTTATGACCTAGATGGCATCAGGTTAAAGATCGACTTCGATTCAGACAGCGTAGTCTTCAAACTCGGTACCACGTAATTCGCAGCCGTTCTGGCTACTTTAATCATAACACCGCTGGCCATTTTATTTCACCGGCCGCTCTCTTCCTTTAATATTCAATCATCGGTAAGCTCGACCTCAGCGGATGTTAATTTTCACACCTGCACCACTGTTTTTTCCGTTGACCTTCAACGTAAGGCTGGCAAGAGAACGAGAAACTGCTAGGATTTCAGTTTTAGACACGATAGCACGAATACCTGTCACATCCTATTCGGCTGCGCATTTTTTCAGCGAGCGCCAAATATCTGTTTCAGACGATGCCAGCGCAACAACAGTTTACTGTGAAACAGTAAAATTCTTGTCTCCACATCTCCTTCCCTGACTGCGCCTCATTATTCTACCCACGTGCAACACAAACAAGAGAGGGGGCAGAAGGCATCCTTAGCCGAGACCAGTGCTAGCAGTTAAAGGTCACTACTTTACCCCATTTATTCTGACGCAGCACCTGTTATCAACATGTAACATATAGTGACTAGATTGCTGGCAACTGGCCATCGATCCCATA